AAGTGGAAATAGTTTGTTTGTCTACCTCTCCTGTGGTCCTTGGATCCTTAAAGACACATATCAATCTTCTATCTTTTTAGTCTAGCTGTGGTTAGTCTTAAAGGCAGCAAAGGCTTCGTTTTAATGTGTTTATTAGGACTGAGCATGCAGCATTTAGCCTACTTAATTTCAGCTAATTGCACTTTCTCCTGATTTAGACAAGACTCCACCATGTGGCATCATGTAGAACAACAGCCTGAGGTGATTCAAAAGCTCAGCTTGTTATCTATTAACTTTATCAATTCATCATAACGTAGCCTGTATATGACACAGATTAATGCTGCCTTCACGTGGTATCGTGAATTTCCTACTTCCCAATTCTGAAGTCGTCATTACCAGCTCGTCGCATTCAAGAGCTTTGTTGTCGGAAAGAACAGGAATCAAGGAGGACGCCAGATTTATTCTTGTTTATTTATTGGGAAAATCTTATTAAATCCAAAATGATATTTAGGGTCCCTTTCATTGACAACCAACATTTACCACTTTAGCCTGCAATAGACAGCTTGCTGCCGATTCTGGGATTTCAGTCAAATAGGCTACTATTCACTGTGTAGGCCTAGGCTATGCAATAGAATAGCTAGGCTATAGGCTACTCTTCAAATGATCATTCATATGACTATATGTAAATATCCAAAACTTTAACGACAAGGCGATCTAGCTGTTGTGGGGAAAAAAAAACTAATAAAATGTCAATCACTCACCAATCGTTCTCCCCTTCGCCATGTTTAAAGTTTATGGCCCACCCAACTTGGGTATCAAAATTATCCCCGAGCTTCATGTGGTAAATACGAATTGAGAGGGCGATAATGTCCAATTTTTAACCAGAATGAATAACAGGAAGTTTTTGGGGCTAGTTGTCACTTTGTAGCAGTTAATATTTGTAGAGTTAATTTTTGAACGTCAATTTCTCTAGACACACCTTAAATTTTTGCATACAAAATCGCTAATTAACATTTTCATTGTCATTGATCAGAGAAAAAAAAAAAAATGTAATACACATTATAATGTCAAGAAGCACTTTGTCTATTTGCTTTTTAGCTAAAAAAAAGCATAAAGTAGCCTACATAAATACCTATGTTTAGTCATAAAAATATTGTAACAAATACATTTAAAACAATACTTTTAGAATTATATATATAAATGTAAAAAAAAAAAAACGTATGTGACAACTTGACCCTGACATGACATTTATGAAAAAAATCTCTAATACAGTTAAACCTTAAGTTAAAATCTATTGTCATTATATAGTTGATTATTGTTTGAAATAGTGTAGTTTTATTGTTTTTCATCACTTAGCTTTAGCAAATAATGAGCATTCAAAGCAGAATATTTTAACATTTTTGCTCATTTTTAGCCTACACAAATTGTGAAATAATCTGTAAATTTGTTCTGTGTGAAACTATGTGGGCAAAGGTTGATTCATGTAGGGCTATGTTAGTTGAGATTTTTGTTAAAAAAATACAGAGAAACAGTCATTTTAAATGTTAATTAAACACAGACACGGCTAATATGGTTTTTGTATGCATTCATTTACCAGATAAACTCATCTTTTATGAACATCTAAAAAAGGCATATCAGTGTTACAGAATAAAATTAGCCTTAAAACTGAAATATGATTTATGAGTAAATGTTTAATACTTTTTCAGTAGGCTATACAATAAAATATGAATAAACGAAAACATATATATATATATATATAGTTAGTTAGTTAGTTAGTTAGTTTTATTTCGGGAATACACGGCCTCTCAGCCCATAGTTCCGAGTCACAATAGCATGACAGATGCTCTTTTTTTCATTCCATGATATATATACAATGCCAATCTCCATGCTTCGACTCACAAACCTGTGACACATCAACACAAACATCACCCACAAGTGTGAGATCACTCAAATATTTCTTACGCAGATCCGTGTACAAAGACCAATCATACAAGAAATGTTTCTCGTCTTCAATCACAGAGGTATTAGTTAATTTACAATAACTAGATTCTCTCTGTCATAGGTAGCCTATATAGGTAGGCTATATAAAGATTTGTCTCATTTTGTATGTTCCGAACACAGAAAATTACAAAAATGTATGAAATTTGAAATTAAATTTCAAGATATTTTTTTCTTGGTCCCTGTATTTTGTATCCACATATTCCATTGTGCTCACTTTATCCATATTTCATGGAAGTATTTGACTGGATTCTGTGTTTGTATGCTTCAGCTAGTGCTTAGTGATCTTCTCAGAGCACAAAGCTCTGCTGGTCTCTCTGGGAAAGACTTGGTATCCCTCGGTGTTCTGGATCAATCTGCACTTAAGACGTTATTCTGGCTTGGATCATCCGCTGCTTCCTTCAACCCACAATTTGCTCAAGTGTGCTGCAGTGGAGATGCGACTAGATAAAAGAGGGCTGGTGTTTTACATACACTCAGCTGGCCTCTTGTGAAATTGAAATATTAATGTATCTATACAGCAGTGGTGTGGAGAACAGGTGATTTACCGAGGTTGTAAACCTCAACAGCTCTTGACAAATGAGAGCTGAATCAAAAAACTAGACTTTCATCAAGCTCTTTGGTTTCCACGCTTTCTCAGTTTCTCAATCTCTGGAAATTCCACGAGGTCAAGGCTTTCGAAAAAATAAAGCTAACTTTGTATTTTCCCCAGTGACAACCAGCAGAGGGAGACATCAGACAGTATAACCGGCGGCTAGAAGCAGATATATAATGTCTTTGCTAAATCAGCCAGATATGGGGTAGTTGGGGCTGTATCTCAGTCAGAGTGAGTAAAAGTCTCTGTATATATAACACAAATGTGTTTTTTTTTTTTATCTAGCAGTGGTTTTGTATGTTGGTTTCAAACATCTTGGTTGAATCCCACTTAAATTTTGTTTTATTTTGTTTGTGAATTCTGTCCTTCATACTAAAATTACAGTATCTTGAAATAGCTGACCAACTGAACACAATTAAACCAAACAGCAGCATTCAGACAAGAGTCAACTATGCAATGAAGGAGCATTGTAAATGAAAGGCTAAACTATTTTCTTTAGACATTTATTTTTCTTTTTCTTTTTTTTTTTTGCTAAATTAATATCAAGTTGAGACAAGTTGTCTTGTTGTTTTATACATTTATGCATTTGGCTGAAGCATTTATTCAAAGCAAGATAGATGGATAGATAGATAGATAGATAGATAGATAGATAGATAGATAGATAGATAGATAGATAGATAGATAGATAGATAGATAGATAGATTTTTATTACTTTCTCACATCTTTCCATGATGTTGAAGTGACTTTTCCAACCCTCGATTCCTGCTTATTCTGATGGATGGTAACCTGCTGTTGTTATTGGTTCTGAAACGGTCATATGGTCAGTGGTTTCTGTGTATCTTCTCATCTGTCTCTTCATGCACTTTACGCTGTAGGATTCAAAAAGAGGAGGGGTACATGGAAAACAGACTTTGGAGACATCTTATAGCTTAATGTAATTAATACATCTGTCTCACGTATTGTTTGTTGGGCTTGTAAAGATCACGGTGATTTGGGATTGTTTCATATAAATGATTATGTAGCCTAATGTATTTTAAAATGGATATGTCTTTATTAGGGTTTTATACAATATATAGTTTCATAACATAGAGATCTTCAGTGCAGGACATGACATAACTTCCACAACTATACTGGATAGGAAAGGACGAAATGGATTATTTTATGGCTGAATATTGTAGCCTATATGTAACATTCATATTTGATGTTTCAGATTTGATTGTATGACTGTGCTTATGAACAGCTGCTGGTCCTGGCAAAATATGTTCAGCATTAATAATAGGCCTACAATCAGTCGACTTCCTTAATTCCATAGGAAATTATGAAATGCGGTTTAATTTGAGTTACGGTTATACAACTAACCGGATATGTTATTTCTTGCTCGTTTTTCTTGCTCATTTCTTGCCCACGCCAGCGATGACTCAAACTCATTAATCATCTATGAAAGTGTCCTGCTGGAAACAGCTTTTTTAATATGGGATTTAATTAGACTATTTATTATAGAAAGTGTAATGCAAAACAAAAATAAAGAAACATTATGATGTTAAAAGATGCTGCAATTTTCAATATTTAGTAATCAGTTTTAATCAGTAGGCCTAGTATATAGGCTAATAATAATTCGTTATGCTGAAAATACAACTTATAATATAGGCCCTGTATATTTAGCCTATATATGCTATTTATTTTTTAAAGCAATTGGGGAACAAATGCACTATAAGCTGAAACTTTAGGCTTCATTTTAACTAGTTTATTAACACACTCATCATCATATCTATGTGATGTTTGGCTCAGTTGTGGCCACGTAAACTGGCGTGATACACGCATTCGGGCCGAACTCATGGAGTGATCTCATATCCTTCTTCCCTGTGTAGTGTTTGGGTGTAGCCTCTATAGTGTAGCCTGGTCAGTCAGTCGTGAAGGTGTGGCTTACCGTGCACACACACACACTCACACAGACAGACAGAGACGCTTCAGCAAAGGTAAAGTTGTAAGTTTTGTTGCGAAATCTACTGAAATCAGTGTTTATGCGTGCAGTCTTCCTAGTCCTATTCCTATTTTGATGTGTTTGTGTGTTACAATGCGTGTTGCCAAGTATTCGTGTGTAAAAGACGCGAGAATCATCATGTTTTGGTGCGTTTGCTCTCCGCGAGCTCATGATGTTAACGGATTTTGTCATCCTGTAGTGGATCGCTTATAAAATTGCATAAAACAAACTTTGCTATGATGCGTGATCGGGATTTAACGTTAATCCTCCATTTTGACCAAATTCATCAATAATGCGTAAAGATACGCAGCGTTAGAATGCAGCTTTATGCTTTTGAAAACACCACCAAAGCTTTTGGTTGTGACTCAAAAGTTTAACTAAAAAACAGAAGTTAATTAATTTATATTTCTGTACAATACAACAAATATAATTATTATCTGGTTGCAGAGCTAAAAACCCAGCCACAAACAGCAGGAATGTCTTCTGTATGGGTCAGTACAGTTGTTTGTTTTACTTCAACCATTTCAGGATAGATTGACACTTCATTTACTTTCTTCTTCTGAACGTGTTTGTTTGTTTTTGTTTTTTAAAGAAGATAACAGTTTATTCAGAACATTTAATACTTTCTATTTTACTTTCAGGATGACTTGGATCTTCTCCTGGAATCCCCCTCCTCTCTGACTGTTACTGTAAGATTGACATTAGTAGTTTTATACAGTCAATATTGTATTTGAGCATATTTATTTAGTTATCATCAGCATGATCTGTTTTATTAAGTCAACAGCACGCGGCACCATTAAGGAGAAGCCTGGCTTTACTCCAGGGGAGGATGCTGCTGCTTTAAGGAAAGCCATGGAAGGCATTGGTAAGGAACTAACCTGGGTGTGGACTTTTAGTGAACTTACACTGCACATGTTCAACTGAGATGTTAAAATCCTGATCCTTTTTATTTGCCTGCTGTCATTGACCTAATGTCACAATGAGGAACTGTTTCAACTCCTCAGGCACTACTGAAAAGACTCTAATTGACATTCTGACTCAAAGAAGCAATGCCCAGCGCCAGCTGATCTGTAAAGCGTATCAGGACGCCACTGGAAGGGTAAAACACCATCGCTGACACACATTCCTTGCGCAAATGTTGCTAATAACTGTTGTCTGATGTTTAAAAACATGCATATGTTTTTCCTCTCAGACTCTTTGTGATGACTTGGAAGGTGATACACATGGAGATTTTGAAGATGCTTTGGTGGCCCTGATCACTCCTCCTGCTAAGTTTGACTGCCATGAGTTCATGCGTGCTATAAAAGTACACAATCTTGTTTCTTTTTGACTGCTAATAGTTTAAATGTCTTAAGTTAAATTTGCAGCTTTGGATGGAAACATAGCCATTGAAGTTCAATGCTAACAGAATGAGTTTCATCACAGGGTGCTGGTACAACCGAAAGCGTTTTGATCGAACTATTTGCATCACGCTCCAACCATCAGATCAAGGCTCTGTGTGATGCATATTTGGCTGGTTTGTATCTTTTTATGTTACTTATTTCTTTTTTTTTGTGGGTACTTTGTTCCTTGGATCTCATTAAAATGTCTATTTTCCAGAAACCGGAAAACCTCTGATTCAAGACCTGAAATCGGAGGTGTCGGGGGACTTTGAAAAAACATTGTTGATCCTCGCTGAGGTTCAGTCAAATAATTTTTTTCAGTCCTGCATCATATTTAAATTCATTCAAATGAGTTATGCAACTGTCATGCCTCCAATTTGTTTGTCTTTCTAACTAAAAGGGCAAGAGGGATGAAAGTACCAATGTGGACGTGGCAAAAGCTAAAGAGGATGCTAAGGTGAAGTGAAGACACTATTGCTGATCTTTTGTCAGTTGTTTAACCCCAACAAAATGTCCCAAGAAAGACTGTTCTGCCCTTCAAAATGGCGGTAACCATGTGGCGATTTTCTGTTATATCTACACTTGTTGTTTTTGTGCAGATCTTGTACGAGGCGGGAGAGAAAAAGTGGGGAACGGACGAGAGCAAGTTTATCGACATCCTCTGCCACAGAAGCGTTCCTCAGCTCAGACAAAGTACCTCCTGCTGGCTTAGACAGCATCATATCCCTCATTTTATATGACGCCGAAATTAATTTAAAGCATATGTAGTAATTTTGAAGGAATAAGTCATTCTGAAAGGATAATGTAGTTTCAGAATCACCCACTGTTCCTGTTCACTCTCAGCTGTGTGACCTTTGTTTCAATCTTTTTCTCTCAGCTCTGGTTGAGTATAAGAGTCTGAGCGGAAAGACCCTTCAGGAAAGCATTGAAGGGGAGATGTCTGGAAGACTCGAGGATATTCTGGTGGCTATAGGTGACATTATAAAGTTGTTGTTTTTTTAGTGGTGTTTGTTAAGGCACTATTAGGGGCCCGTTCACACAGAACATGTTTTTCCATTCCACTACGCTACTTTTTTCATTGTTTTTCAATGTAAATGCGCCAGACGGATGCGTTTGATCGCTGTACTCATGTCTTTTGCAGAGTCTCGCACATAAAATGTGGCGCTCAACTTCAAATAACTTTTAAAAAACGCGTCTCTATACCTTGCGTTTTTGTTTCACTTCACTGACCTGAAACTTGAGTGAACGGCCCCGTACTCTTCCTCATGCAATGCATGCGTATTTGAAAAAACAATTAATTTATTATATTTTATTGTTACATGCTGTAATTTTCCACTTGAAAAATCTAATTGAAAATGTCTCTGCTTTAGTGAAATGTGTGAAGAGCGTCCCAGCATACCTTGCTGAGCGTCTTTATAAAAGCATGAAGGTTAGAACTGTAATTCTGTATTTGCCATAATGACTCTACAACAAAGCAAGTAGTCATACATTTTGAACAGAAACTTGTTCTTGTTTTCAGGGTGCTGGAACCACTGAATCCACCATAACTAGAATCATAGTGAGCCGTTCAGAGGTCGACCTGCAGGACATCAAGACGGAATATAAGAAGCTGTTTGGCTCTTCCTTATACTCTGACATTGAGGTGAGAAGCATAAGAAGCATTCAATGAGAGCTTATAAGTCTAGAATGTCTTTGTCCGAAATCCTATTTTGTTCCTTCGCTTAAATGCTGACAATTGATTTGCACCTTTAGTAACATGTGAATGCCTCGCTTGACCAGTGTCTGGAGATGATTTACAGAGGAAATGATTGACATCCTCAGTAGGAGGAACTGATGATCAGTCCCCCCCTAAACTGAGGGCCCTGTGTGTGTGTTTTCTCAAGTGTGGGTATCTGCCCGTCGTGCTGAAAGGTAGTGGGTGTGCTGAAAGGTCTTTACAATTGGTTGCGAGGCTGCCTGTAGGGTTAGGGGTTAGTTTCTGTTGTTGCATTGTGTACAGGGATTGGACAATGAAACTGAAACACTGGCCAATATAGTGTTGTAGGTTTCATGCCTATATATGGCATGCATCGGCCTGGTGGCCAATCTTTACTGATTTTACATTCCATCAGTAAGAGCTGAGTGTGAAGGTTAAATTAGCAGAGCAGTTGCACAGCTGTACATAAAATATCGCAATCCACACAACATAATGGGAGACATATCAGAGTTCAAAAGAGAACAAATTGTGTTTTGCTGGCTCATCTGTGACCAAGGACTGCAAGTCCCTGTGGAGTATCAAGAGCTGTGGTGTCCAGGGTAATGTTGGCATTACCTAATGTTGGCAGGGTAATATTGGCATACCCCCACGAAGGACGAATCGCATCCAACAGGAGTAACTGTCGACGCAAGAGGAAGCTGCCTGAAAGGGATATCCAGGTATTAACCCGGATTGAATCCAAAAAACAAAACCACAGCAGCTGTCCAACTCACTGCAGAATTAAATGTGCACCTCGACTCTCCTGTTTCCTATAAACCTGTTCGTCAGAAGCTCCACAGAGTCAATATTCAAGGTCGGCCTGCTATAGCCAAACCTTTGTTTACTCCTGCCAGTGCCAAATGTCGATTTCATTGGTGCCAACAGTGCAATCTTGGGGTGTGGACAATGAGAAACATGTATTTTCTCTGAGTCCACCTGTCTGTCCCACATCCGTGGGAGTTATGATGTGGAGAATCATGGCCTTCTCTACTGTGCTTGATGGACGCAACACTGCCAAGGACTACCGAACCATTCTGCAGGACCATGTACACCTGATGGTTCAAACATTGTACCCTGAAGGAGGTGCTGTGTATCAGACACAGCAAGACTTGTGACAGAGTGGTTTGATGAACATCAAAGTGAAGTTGAACATCTCCCATGGCCTGCACAGTCACCAGATCTATATATTTTTCAGCCACTTTGGGGTATTTTGGAGGAACAAGTCAGAAAACTTGGTGACCTGGCCACTGTTCAGGAGGAGGAATGGCTCAAAATCCCTCTGGCCGCTGTGTGTGAAGGGCTTGTAACTGTCATTAATTGTATGAAGGTAATATGATGCCATAAAGAATCGCATGCGCAGGGTAAGATTTGTCAAAGTGTACATAAGATTACAAGCGTAAATTAAATTTGCATGTGCAAGAGAAGATTTGTAAAGGTGTAAATCGCCTTTCAAGTGTAAGAAAAAAATATTTGCTGCGTTTTACTGTTATTCGTAAGTGTAATGCTTGTATTGTGAAGCTGCAGCTTCATGCTAAGGCAAAATAAATGTGATCTGTATTCTTCTGACTTCCTTTTTTCCGCGCTTACACTTGGCACGTTTTTTGCGCACAAATATGGCCAAAAGCACTGCAGGCCTGTGCACAGCGATTTGCAACCGAAAACATCAGAGTCAGGAACTGCAAAACGGATTGATCGCGTAAAAAACCAACCTTTGTGTAAATAATAAACTGTTCGAATGTCTAAATGACTTGTTGTGTACATGAGGCAAAATTTCCCCAAATAACCCGATTTGTACTAGGGGTGGAACGGTACACAGAAGTCACGGTTCGGTTCATACCTCGGTTCAGACATCACGGTTCGGTACGATTTCGGTACAATGGAGTGAAAAGCAAAGCAAAAATGCAGAAGGCATTTTTATAAATGTCTTAAACCTTGTATTTTTTTAAATAAGTTTTATTAATAAAGGCATAGAACCAGTTTATTTGTAGTGCACTGACAGTAGTTTTATATAATTAGTTTATTAATTAAATTATTAAAAAGACGAAAAGACCTTGAGATATGTTTGGTAATTGTACCTGAATGAATTTAAAATTAATTTGCTATTTCAGATCAAGATATTTGTTTTCCTTCATTTTAATTAACTAACTTTATTCTCATCTGAATTATAAATAATTGATTTCCGTATAAAATAATACTACCATAAAAACTTTTGTTGACAGTTGTAGGTTACAGTTTGACAAGAGTTTAGAGTGTGACAAAAGCACAATGTTGTGTTTTATTGCCAGTGTACACAAATATAAGTAAACAATTTGCAGTTTTAATGATGTCCTGTATGAAAAAAATGACGGAGTATGTTTTTACGTTTCCACTGTTCGATCGCCCGTGCCTCTCTCTCTCACACACACACACACACTGTTCATCGCGCGATTCGCGCCCGCGCCTCTCTCTCTCGCACGCGCGCGCACACACACACACACACACTGTTCATCGCGCGATTCGCGCCCGCGCCTCTCTCTCTCGCGCGCGCGCACACACACACAGTTCATCGCGCGATTCGCGCCCGCGCCTCTCTCTCTCTCGCACGCGCGCGCACACACACTGTTCGATCGCGCCTCTCTCTCTCTCGCACACACACACACACTGTTCGATCGCGCCTCTCTCTCTCTCGCACACACACACACACTGTTCATCGCGCCTCTCTCTCTCTCTCTCTCTCTCTCTCTCTCTCTCTCTCTCTCTCTCTCTCTCTCTCTCTCTCTCTCTCGCGCGCACACAGACACACACACTCCTGCATTGCAATCTTGATCGCAGCCTGTTCATTGCTGCGTTAACAGTCACACCAAAAGCGAATAGAGCGAAATTTATCGCTATTTAAGAGGGTTTTTTTTTTATTTGTACCGTGTATTCTGCGTGCAAATTCGTGCACCGAACCGTGACGCCCGTACCGTTTCGGTTCAATACGAATACATGTACCGTTCCACCCCTAATTTGTACAGTTGCGTCTTTCTTTTAGCTGCGCTTACAGTTTTGCCACGATTCTCTCAATCATTGAGTTTTGCAAGCGCGAAGAGGAGGGCGGGTCCACCTTCTTCATGTAGCCAATCAAATGAGCTTCTTGATTTACTCTTATCTGATTGGTTCAATAAACACGCCAGTCGCATGCGATTCTTTATGGCATCATATTACCTTCATAGAATTGATGCTGTATTGGCTGCAAAAGGAGGCCCTACTACACCATACTAATAAATGATTGTGGTCTTAAACCAGGTGTTTCAGTTTCATTGTAGCCTGGTTAAAACCAGACCATTCTCAGTTGTAAGCAAAGCGTCATAGACAAATAATTTCCAGAGGGGCGTCACCAACGGACGTCGTGGAAAGACCGTCACCTAAAACCAATCAGCGATGAAGGAGATGACGTATGCAGAGCGGCAGAAACATCTCAGAGTGTTGTTCTTTGCTCCTTTTTTAACTAAAAGGAAACGTTCAAATCGCTGAAAACAGACGCGATAGCTGATTCGAACGAGTGATGTTCGACGGCGGCATCCATCTCTGTAATGTAGGCTACAAAATCTGCTTCAAAATCCCAGCGCTGTCGTCATCGTGTAAAGCCCGCCCCAACGTTTCTGATTGGTGCCGCGATTTCGGCGGATTGGAAATGGGCTTGAATGAGCTCTTTGCCAGACTAACTTTCAGAGCAAATCTAAATTTGACGGAAGTTGTCTGGGTTTTCCCAGGCTAGTTTCATTGTGCAACCCTGTACCTTTCTGCACGCAGGTAAAAAAAAAAAAAACATTGCTCGTTTAGGGGCAGGTTACACAACGTCTCAACTAAAAACTGAAAACTTGTTCTGCGTTTTGGCCATTTACACGACAACAGCGTTTGGGGTTGCGCTCATTTTTGAAAACGGGTTTTAAAGTGCTAGTTATTGAAAACGATACTGTTATCGTCTCCATGTAAACTACAAAAATGCAAAATTGTAAAAATAGTGACGTCATGCGCATGTGTATTATGCGTTCAGTCTATAGGCTTAGTGTTTCTTAACAAAGTGACATCGCTATCTACTGGCCTGACATGAATAATACAGTGTTTTTAATCGTTTTCACGGATCCCTGTGAACGGGATTGTGTTGACAACAGTGTCGTCTGTACGCGAAAAGCTTTTCCGTTTTTAGTACTTTGTTGTTGTGTAAAAATACCCTTAGTCAAAACTACAACTGAACAAACATGTAAAGTAGGACCTTCCCAGAGGACTTGAAGGCAGCATGTGACTGAGCATCTTGTGGAGGTTCATAAATTGAATTTGCTAATTCAATTGACCGCACGAAAACAACCTAAGCCATGTTGATTTTACTGAGGTTCTTTGTAACATCGTACAGCAGCGTTCTTTCAGCAGATTTGACCCGCATGTGTGCCTCTACACACCCTCTGTTAGACCATCAAACATGCTTTGCATTGCCCCATTAATCACAAATCTGCTGCATTGAAGCATCATGTTTCTTTGTTTGTCCACTTTCCATTGTTTATTTTACTTTACTATGAAGTTGCTATTTCCCTCCAGCTTGCCTCTACTACTCTAAAAGCACAAAGATACTAAACGTATTTCTAAATAATAAAGGTTCTAAATGTTTAGCAAGTGCAGTATGATGTTAAATGTCAGTAGTCCCATAAATGATCTCATCTGATTTTTTATTGTAGTCTGATGTATCTGGGGATTTTTGCCAAACGCTCCTGAAGATCTGCGGTGAAGATGGCAAATGAATGTATTCATCACAAACCCTTCGTAACAGAAGACATCACCGCAGAAGTGCTATAATGTGAAAGAATGTCCAAATATATTTCTTTTATTAAATCTCTAATAATAAATCATCAGCTTTATGAAATGTATTTCTTGTACTAACTTTTTTATAATCATAGATAACTTGTATACTTGGTAATATAATACCCTTAATCTAACGCGAAAGACTAATTTAGCTCCAGAATCTACATCTTTTGATGTGTCAGGACTTGATTACATTTTGTTCCTGCATTGTGGAGTAATAGCTTACAGTGACTGAAGAATGAATAAAGAAAATAAAAGTTCTATTCCATTTTGCTTTTTGAAATATTGTCTTCAATGTGTAGTTTTGTCCTTGATCCAGCAGGTGGCATGAAGTACATGTTTATGGTAGCCTAGTGGTCAACAATTAAAAATCTCTTGGGATTCCATGAATGGGATGAGCATTTAAGTGAAGCGATTGCTCATTTTGTCTAGTCACTCACTCATAAGTACATAAAACTACTATTAGGATGACATTTGGTCTTAATTCTGATACTGGAATTGGACTTTCAGCCTCATTTTTGGATTATTAATATCTAATCCCTCAAAACAATGCAGATTGTCATGAGAAAGTGATGTATGCAGATGCTGGTGAAACAGAAAAGATTCTTAGCCTCTTTTTCCAATAAGGATGCCACTGATAAGATTAGTAACAGGTTTTAATTTGCTCTAGAGCATCTGTGAGGTCAGAAAGGCAGACTGAAAATGATTGGAGGCCCAGAAGAATGATTTTGTATGAGAGAAAAAAAAAATTCTCATGAGATATTGCTTACGTCAGGGTGTAATGTTACATTTGGAGATAGACACAATTTTGTGAGCAGTAAAGAAATGTTAATTTAATGAAAACTGATTTAGGTCTACATAATTCAGTCTTCTATTGCGATCATCTGATAGTCTGCGGTTAGAAGTGAAAACTCACAGATTATTTCATTACTGTTCCATACCTGGCAACTTTTGAGTTTTGCTCGGCGTGAGATTTGTTGACGGGGGGGGGGGGGGGGGGGGGGTAGAGACGAGTGAGATTTGTTGACGGGGGGGGGGGGGGGTCTCGCTCGCGCAAGGTCTCTCGCTCGCTCTACGCGGTTTGGAGCACAATCTCTGTCTCGCATGCACGCTCGCTCTAGATAACGGGAGATTTTTAACGAATTTGCGGTATAACTAGTCGATCACGAGTGGCTCAACAGGTAGATATATAGATAAACTCATCTTCCAGGCATTTGACCGCCCGGGTTGACACTTCAGCGTGAGAAATCGGGAGTGTGGCGTGTGAGCGTGTGAAACCAATCAAATGCGGGTGTCTCACGGCCAATGCGTGAGAGTTGGCAGCTATGCTGTTCATAATCTGCAGCTGTTACAGTAAAACGCTGACCTAAACCATTCTCTCTTTTCAATTAGTCTTCAGACAGCAAAAGAACAATGCCCTGGAAAATCCTTAATGCCACTAGAGTAGGACAAAACACTCGGATTACAAACGATTTCAGAATACGATTAAGACAAATCAGCCCTCTTTTATGATGTCAAACTCCATAATGTAAGACATTTGATGGAATCAACAAGAGATTAGAGACAGACCATCCCAGCTAGCAGGGAACGTTCTCAGAACTTTGGCTAACATTCCCTACAAGTTTGGTTAATGTTTTAAAGAAAACATTTGAATGTAATGTTTAAAGAATGTTTTAAGGATGTTTTCTCATTTCAAATAATGTTCCTATCCACAAGTTTCCTACGTCCCATGAGGCATTGCGTCAAAAGTGGGCGCGACTTCCGGTTCGAAGTAAACAAGCCGGAGTTGACATTCATTCATTCATTAGTTGACCGTCATTCAAGATTTAGCGATCCAAACTTAATGATGTGGGAAAACAACCTCAACGAAATTAAAAGGGGTGATATAACAGTACCTTTACCATCCGCGGTAGATGGTTGGGAGGATGACGTGAAGAAGTGGCCTCGTATCACGTATGGTAACATTTTTAGCTATTTTGTAGATTCAGTAGCCTGTGATGGTAAGGCGATGAGCAACCTGAAAAGCTCAGAGGCATATCAATATCTACACAGTGATAAAGTCGGTCGAGTGTTGTTTAAGGACGTCGGAAACGACCTTGCGTATCTAAAAGCTGACATTGAGCCGAGCCAGAGTTTGCACGTAACACATCATAAGGCTTGGGTGCTAGTTTCAGTGGCAGGTGAAGTACAGACAGCGGGTTGTTCATGTATTGCAGGGCCAGGACGCTCTTGTAGTCATGCAGCAGCACTTTTGTGGAAGGTCAGTAAAGTTAGGACGATTAAGGGCACAAAATGTATTATTGTATTGTGTATTATTGTATATTTTTTATTAATTAATAAATGTACTAAACTGAAATGTTTACTGTGTGTCATTCATGTTCTGTATGTGTTGCTTCACAGTAGCCTTGACTTAAAATATTTATTTTAATATTGTTGGATAATAAAAAATTGAATTCAATTTAGGTTGAGAATGCAGTCAGGCAGGGAAAGACAGGGATGGCATGCACTGATGTGCAAAGGAAGTGGAATTCAGGTGCGAAGAAGAATGTAGGAATGAGGAAGGTGAAGAACATTCATTTTAACCATCACAGGCCATACCACATTTATCCAGGCACATCAACAATGCCTCCCCAACTTTTTAAGAACCACAGAGAGTTCATAGCCCACAGTAATTCATCAGTGATGGCCCCACTGTTTGTTCACATGCTACCGTCCTAGATTGGCTGATGATTTTGCTGACAAGAAAATCCATCTCTGTCCAACATACCTGCAGATGTTTAATGCATAGTTGGGGGAATGTTTGCACTGTTCTCAATATTATTATAATATATAAGCCATGTCTTTATATACCATGCCTATAAAGGCATGGTTACAGTTGTGGGGGAAACAAACCACAATTAAAATAAAATAAAATACACACTGAATAAAAACATATTAGACACTTAGTCATTGGCTTTTGAATTTATTTATAAGAATAAATTAATGTGTCATTTGCACATTTGGTTAACAGTTGTATTCAGAACATTTCATTAAATAAAAATAGCAATACTATACTGTGAAAGTACACACACTTCTCTCTTTTGCAGAATATTACGAGATTGAAAAATATTAAGAATTTAAATTTACACAGCAAAAATAAAATAGCTGTCTATGAAACAACAACTAAAAGAAAAGGTGTTGGTATATCAAGGCAAGGCAAGTTTATTTATATAGCACATTTCATACAATTCAAAGTGCTTTACATAGAAGAAATTAAAATAATCAAAACAAAAAAGAATAATTACAACAGTTTAGAAAAAAAAAATCAGTGCAAGTAAAAGTTGTGTATTGGTTTATACAGTTGATAAAATTATAGAGAGAATTGAACATTTAAGCTCAAGCTGATTGTGTAAGATATGGTCTATGTCTAGTCTATGTTCTAGAAATAAGCTCTCCTCGCAGATTTACAAGTGCTGCACAGATTTTTAATATTCTGTCGATTTTAGGGACAAAATGAATAGGCACAGTTTGAGAGAGGATCTTGTACACCTTAAGACGTCTGATTGCTCGCTCAATGTATGCGGACATTAGCAATGCGTCTTGTGCGAGTGACCTGCTCATTTGTCAGCTGGCATTTCTTGCGCGTAAAAGCTGGCATGATCAAACGAACATGCCGTTCCTCTAGCAGATCTCTGATGGTGAAGCCACGGTCGCCCATCACCTCATCTCCAGCACGCAAATGGTCGAGAAACCCAGAGTTCTGTGTGATGAATCTATCGCTACATTTGCCACCGTAAGCCTGTGAAATGTACATAACCATACCAGATGGAGCAATTGCTACTAGATACTTGACAGTATTGTTTGCATAGTAGTGACTATAAGATTCAGTTCTTGAGTCCAGATTTTTAGCCTTCTGCAAGACACTTTCTTTGCAGTCAATGACACAAGTTGTGTTGGGGAAATTGTCCTTAAAAATTTGCAGGCAAAGTGGCTTTTATTGTTTCGCGCGGCAGCCATGGAATGAGATCCTGGGTGTGCTCAGCAATCACATCTATCCAGAATGTCAGTGTTTTACTGACCTGACCAGGTGACATTTTGAAGCGTCTAGCTAAATCGGCAATAACAAAGTTCTGTCTAAGCTTCATTAATGTCAAGAGGATTTGGTCCTCTGCTGATGATGTGGGGGCAAAGTGTTGCAAGCAAGACACAAGGGTTTTGAATTCGAGAAGTGGAATCCCTGTGTACAGCAGACAGTCTGTATCGTCTTTCAAAACAACATCTGCAACAGACAGTGTCCTCTCAGTGGATGGGGCAGTTGTCATACCACATGTGATGGTAGGTGCTTTGGTGTAGGTGTGGTCATCCATTGTTGGGTCTGACCACTGTGTCTGGGCATCATGAAAGGTCTGTGAGGTAGGATCTGGGTCCCCAGAAACCTGCATCACAATAGGCTCATCTGCAGGGAATACATTAAGTACATATTTAGCTGTGGCGGTCTTATATTTAGCTGGTTAGTCCTTCAATGACGATTTGTTTAATGGCAGAAAAGAAAAAAAAAATTAGGGGGCATTAGAGTCTTGAAAAACATCTAGACTGCGTTTAATATCATCAATATAGATATTCTGTTACATCAAATGTTAACTAATAGAGGAAATTAAATTAGCATCTGTCACTGTGTACCATTGTGCTCTCCAAGTTCGTCACAATAAAAGTTTATGCGAGGTAAAAACATCAGGCTACCTGTCTACCATCATGGCACAGTTTTTCATATATTAATAATACGTAATTCAAGAAAAACTAAGGAAAAAACAAGCTAGTTGACATTAGATTAAATGTTAAGTTACCTGTTGTTGTTGTTGTTGTGACATGTCGAATCCTAGGTCGGCGTCTCTTCTCCGGTGGCTTCTCGTAACCCATAAAGAGCGTTGGATACGGGTTATCCAGTGTTGGCTGGATAGTGTTGGCACGAAGTGAAACGAGCACACAAACAGGTGTTTTGGAGGTGTTTTTAAGTTTAAGTTCTTCCTCCATATTCTATTTGATTCGTCGTCTTTTGGGAGGTGATGGAAACTGTATAATCGTTCACAGGAACACTCAGATTTAGTTTTAGGCTTATGTTCAAAACACTCACGTTTAAGCCACTGAATTAGTTTAGTGCGGTTATATGTACAACCTCGAACAGCACATGTTGTCCCTGAGCTCCGTAACGACATCTCTCATTAATGTTTGCGACTTTAAATAGTAGAAAAATGTACTCGAAAAATACCTAACCTCTTCGCTATGTAACACAAAATACCGTTGATTTAC